GCTTCTGTGGAGACACTGCTGAGCTACTTGGCCACCAGCAGCAGTGCCCAGCGGCTCCCGGGGCGCCGGGCTCCGTGTTCAGATCCGAGATCCTGCTCACATCCCTCCACTTGTAAGCAAGTTAAAGGAAGCGGCCACATCCAAATTGTTTTTCATGACCTTCCTCCTCCAATCTTTCAAGGCTGAAGTTGAAATCAAGGCCTCAAGGGGCACAACAGAAGTGCATCACCCATCAGAAAATGTAATTCGGAGCAATTTGAGTCAAGGCAGAGCAGCAGAGAAAGCAATGAGAAAAGTAACATCTCTTAAGATCCAGGCTCGCTGCCTTCACAGCCCGGGAGTCCTGTGTTTTCTGAGCCAGCTTCCCTGTCCCACATACAAACCTGTCCCTGTCTCCCCAGGAAATTACTCTCCCGTGCCAGCCCAGGGCATTGCACACAGTGTGACCCTCTATCTTGCTCATTCGTGGCATCTTCTTGTTTACCAGCACGGAAACTCCACCCCAGACTCAAGGGCAGCAGGAGGGAAGGAAATCCAGATGCTGAACAGCCTTATTTCCCCAGTCGCTTCCCTTCTAGTTCCAAGTATCTCAAAGCAGCACTGCAGAAGCTGCAGGAAGCTGCTGTCTCCATCCTTGAGGGCAACTACACTGCTAGCCACAGCACTGGCTTAGAGCACCACGCTGCCCACACAGCAGCTTCCTGCAGTGACCAGGGCAGTGCTGCAACAGCACAGTCAGATTTATTGCATGAGAAAACACACGCATCAGGGTTTCCCTTCCCTCTTCATCTGTAGTGCACAAAGAACCACTGTCACTTCTTCAAAGCACAGTATGGCATGTGCCAAGTCTGCAGCAACCTTGACTTTCCCACATGGTTACTGGCTTCACAAGGTGCTGTCCTTTCCCAGTGCCTTGAGTGCTCCCTGACATCCACCTCCCAGCTAGACAGCGGAGGCCACGAGACCCCATAGGGGACTCATGCACAGCACAGAGAGAGCTCCCAAAGCCCAGGAGAAAGCTCAGAGTCAAAAGCATCAGCTGTGTCCTCAGGTAGAAGCCTTGCTGGGGGTTTGGAGGGTTGGCTGAGCTCCCCTGCAGCCTGACTTCCCTGCAAGGTCACAGCAGTCTCTGCAAGAGCTGCGTGTGATTTGGGATGGGAGCATCACAAGAACCACGAGCATGGGAGCTCTCTGGGACAACCTGCTCCGGGTGGGATCTAATTTTGGATTGCTGGTCCTATGTTTCCAGCCAAGCTCACCCCTCATCACAGTACAGCATGAAAGGCAGGCACAAGAGGGAGAGTGTTTGATTGATTCAACAACTCAAATTCCCAAGGTAAGGCAGAGAAGGAAACAGCCAGGCAGGCCTCTATCAGCTTCACACACACTTCCATCTGGACACAGGGATTCTGCCACAGGATACCACAGCCAGGGACATTTCTTCCTTTTAAACAACTCCCAGCCAGAAAAAAAAAAAAAAAAACATACTTTCTGTTCTCCTGCAATACCAGTGTGTACAGCCAACTTCACAGCAGGCTGTTTGCACTGAGCTATGTGCTGCTCTCACCTTTACCGAGGGATTTCACAACAGATCCAGGATCCCAATCTTGGCTTTGAGCTCTGCCCAATTGTCAGAGAGAGTTAGTCTGATCAGTGAGGAAAAGAAGACACCGAATGTGGTCCTTCCCAATTATGATCCACTTGACAACACCAGAGGGTGAGCCCAGATAAGTGAAAGCAGTGTAACTCACTAAGAGAGATACAGAAGCCTGAGAAAACGTAATAGACTCGCAGCCACTTGCTGTGTTTGATTTAGCTTGATTTTACACACAGGCCAACAGAACCATAGATTTCATGCTGAGGTTCCTTGGCACGTGACCAGGTGTCCTCATCCGACTGGTCTATGAACATTTCCTGCCACAGCCTCTTTCCACAGCGCTGTAACCCTTGCCCTCTTGAGCAAGCACTTTGCCAAGACACCCTTCTGCTCAGCCCTGCAGAGCAGCACCCACTCAGAAATGTCACGTGGAGAAAACCACTTCCCTCACGTTGCCTTGCAGGTGCAACAGCATGCAGAGTCTTGAACACGTTGTGAGGAGCCAGCCATCATTTCTCCCCTTTGTTTCATCTCTACATCACACAGACAAACAAATCCCCTCAGGACAGTGGGGACCTAAAGAGAATTTGCACCCTGTGTTACAAATACATGAGGCAGTTACCTGCCATAAAGGCCTAATACTGCAAGCACAAGCAGCTGGGCTAATGCTGAAGCAGCCAAGCACCCGGCTGGCCTTCAATCTGGGGGAAGTTTCATCAGAAAAAGGACCAGATCCCAACATACTGGTGGGAGAGAGAACGTGCAAAGACACCTCTTAAGATCTCTCCTTAAGGGGGTTTCAAACTTTAGTTTATTGGTCTTATCAATACAAGGCGATTGGCTACATCTTTGCTACAAAAGAAAAAACACTCCTAAAAAGCACAGCAGAAAACTGCTAGGAAGTTTGGTACATGCCTGAGACAAGGAACTGAGCACACCTAAATCTCCACCAACGCTGCTCATTCCCGGCCTTAATCACTTTGCTGAAGACAGGGTGGAAACAAGACCTCTCCCATCACTAAATCCAACCTCCTGCTGCTGCAGAGACCTGGCATCAGTCGAGCATGTTTCACAAGAGCTGCTAAACAGCCCATGCCAAGGAACTACCTTCCAGCTCCCCAGACACTACTTTTTCTTTTCATAGATAAGCGTACATAAGATTTCCTAAATAGGAAATCTGCTTAAAAGCAAATCTACCTTTTTTTCAGATTTATTTAATATGACTTTTATCAAAAAAGTAAACAATAGCCACCAAAACAATCCCTAAGCACTCTGAAGTACAGATTGGGGCTTTTAGAGCTTTCTTGCTTTGTCTGGGGAAAGCAAATTAATAATTCGGGTCATGGCATAGCCACCAAAACAATCCCTAAGCACTCTGAAGTACAGATTGGGGCTTTTAGAGCTTTCTTGCTTTGTCTGGGGAAAGCAAATTAATAATTCGGGTCATGGCATGGGATAAGGTAGAATTGCAGCCCAGCTCTTCCACAGGGATTTCTGCATTGCAAGATAGAAAAGCAGTTTAAAAGAAACATGAGCAGGGAGAAGTGCACTTTGGGATCAACTCCCTTTATCTGGTAAGCAAGCACAGCCCTGGTATGACTGAATTCCATGGAATTGAGCCTGGATGGCACCAGAAGAGTTACACCACAGGATGCAGTCATCTAACTACGGCTGTTAATGATTGCCCTTGATTATCCTTCAGCAAGGGCTCACACAGTGACACGTGAAACACCATCCAGCTAAGCCATCCCCACATCTCAGGACTTGAACAGCTCCCTCCTGCATGGCTGAGTGTTTCTGTAGCCTCCAAGGACCCACCAGCAGCACAGAGGGCTCAGAAAGGTGATCTTTAAACCCACACTAGCAACTGCAAAAGTCACCCATCTCTTGGGAGAGGGCAAAGTAATTCCTTGGATGGTAAGGTAAAAGAATACTAACAAGTGCTGTATTGTGCACAGACCCAGAGTGAAAAGCCAGTGCTAGAAGCATCACCTAAACATCAGACATGGAAACCAGCTCTCCTCCTACCAGGAGCCTAGGGACCCAGCCCAGAGAGAACCAAACTGTACAAGTGATCCAGGAACCCTGAGTGGGACAGGAGTGACTTTGTGGTCAGATAAACAAGACTTAAAGCCACCCTTACTCTATATTGCTTCAAGCTGTTACTTACACTGATGAGATTTTGGGAAGCTCAGGGATTTCTTCCTTCTTCTTGCGGAAGAAGAACCAGTACGTCAAAAGTCCAGTGATGAGCGAGATGAGAAACAGATCAGTCATGCTGAAGAGAGAGTCTTGCTCGGCAGGATTCTCTGGAGTAGAAACTGTTTGTTTCATGCCCGCATCCCCCATGATGATCAGAGAACCTGGAAAGGAAGAACAGTAAGTGAATACCAACAGTCACAAAAAGTCACAGAAGAAGAAAAGAGCACTAAGGGCCCTACAGATCATCCTTTCACAGGCTCTGTCCTAGGAGCACAAGGGAGCTCAACAGCTCCCAGCATTTTCAAGCAGGATTTTCCCACATACCTGTGAGTGTCCCCACATCAGGCTGTCACGACAGCCAAGCTGCAAACACATCCCATCTACTATCGCTCCCCCCTGCCCCCACCACATCCCTTGCATACCCTCCAAGCCCTTGAATACCCCTTGCTGGCGGATGTACCTAGTTAACCTTTAATCATCCCTTATCACCTCCCATTCTCTGTTTCTCCACATCACAAAACACATTAAAATAATCTCCTGGAAAGCAGACCTCAGAAGGTCAACCATCACCTGACAAAGTGCTTTCATTCTGTGGGGATTCTCATTCTTACTGCCCACAGCAGCCTGGCAGGACCTCACGGCCCCACATCCAGCCCGGTCCCCTGCACAGAGCCACCCAGCGACGCTGTTAACGCAAACGGACCTTCGGGACAAGGCTCTGGGGGAAACTGGGACAGAATTGAACGAGTCGCCCGTGGCCACAGTATAGCAAAGACTCACCCGGCCCCGTGGGGTAGCCCCGTGATCCCTGCCCGCCCTCTCCACAGCTTTGCCAAAGTTCTGAACTCCGCTGACCACAGTCCAGATTGGGAGATTAGCTCCGCGGTGTGCAAGGACGTGCTCTGTCCAAGCAAACAGATAATTAACTCCAAACTTGATTCATAAGGGCAAAGTGACTCTTGCCTTGTACTTGGGCATGCTGCCAGTACAGGAGACCATGGACATTTGAACTTGCGTGCAAAAAGAAAAAAAAGGACTGAGAGCCACAGAAGTGCTATTCTAGAGAAGGAACACGGCACGTGGCAGAGCAGCAAGAGGAGAATTAGCCTGTTCAGCACAATGGCACCCTCCAGCCAAAAGCTTTGGGATAGCTTTGCAATAGGGGACTTGGAAACTTCAAGGTATGTCGGGGTGAGGAAAAACTGCTTGAAGTTTCACATTATAGTAACGCATTTGGGAATCTGGAAGAAAAAGGAAGGAGATGCTTAAGGAGCAGAAGGGAGTGCTAATGAGGGAGACTTGCTAAGGGCTTGAAGCCACAGGGACTGGAGAGGCAGAGCCAGCTCTCCAAGGGAGAGGGGCAAACAGAGAGGAAAAATACCAGTTATTGCCTCCATGTCTGTGATTTCAAGTACCCAGACAAGCCAGGAATGTTGATTCCTGGAACTCCTGGACCTTCCCTCAGCTCAGGGTTTGTTGGGAGCAGAAGGAACAGCCTCTGCTTTACCCCACATCTCCTGCCAGAGCGGAGCTCCTGCTGCCAGGCTGGCCAGGGACTGCACTGCCCAACGCTGACAAACTGCCTCAAATACCAGACATGCCAAAGGATCCCCCGCCTGCAACATCGCAACCCGGGGCGGCAGCTGCTGTGGGGCATCTTGCCCACATGGGAGTCAAGATCGGACAGTCCTGAAGAGCTCATGGCTCGTGGCTCCTTGCACAGTTTAGGTCTAGGTATTCATCCAGCTCTGTGTTTTCTCCCAACAGAACTAACGCAGCAGCTGCCTTTCTATTCCTCTGTCAGCCAGGGTGTCTGCTCGCTGTGGCTCCTAGCAAGGCAAAGCCCAACTCCTGAAGACACAAGCACTGTGGCACTGGGCCACCAGGCACGAGGTGGCCTCTGCCTGGCTGATACTGAACAGCAAGACACCCGTTTCCCTACGGGAGGGCCAGGTCACCCTGCTCTCCCTTGCAGACAAGCTTCCAGAGCCAAGCAGGAGTCGGGCGCTACTTCTACACAGGCGTAGACTAAACTGTTCAGTAAAGCATCCACAACCACGATTTAACTGCCAGCAACACCCAGTTCGCAGCGATCCCTCTCCTCCTCCACCTTCGGGTTTGATAAATCCCTAAGGAGCCTGTCAGCAACTAAAGGGACACTCTTCTACTCCCCCCTTGATGCCACCTCGTCTCACCCACAGCAAGAGCAGAGGCTGCCAGGCAGCCCGTCCTCTCGCACCCAGCTTTGGCTCTCGCGGTCTCACCCCGGCTCGAGCTGCTCTTGTCTCGTGGCGATGAACCCGCAAGCACTGCCAAAGCCACCGCTGCTGCGTGGCGCAGCACGGCCCTCGGTGGAGAAAGCAGGGCCCAACACAGGCTGTCTGCGTAAACCTCTCCAGCACTGAAAGGGGTGTTTCTTCAATGCCAGCCCAAGCCACCTCCGTTGCCCAAAACGCACTAGGGTGTCAGTTTCACTCGAACTGAGCAATATGAACATGCCAGGAAGTGTATCCTCAGGGCTGGGTTCAAGGAATAGCACCCGTCTTTTCTAATCACCTCTCCTTGACAGTACTTTTCCTGTGGCAAAAACCACACTAAAATCTCTGCTCTGGGACAAGGACGTCGAGCACTGAGTTTTAGTGGAGCATCCAACGGGGCAGCACGGAGAAGGGCTTAGGAGACAGTAGATGCAAAACAGAGTAGAGATTGCTGTAGCCTCAAGATTCTGCCCTGCATCGCTCAGATGTGAACATTACAGCACAGGTCACGGCATGAGGCTGGGACTATCCTGTGGACAGGGGAAGCCTTGAACAAACAAGGCTGGAAGCAACCACCTTAACCAGGTTTTGGACAAAAGCTGCACCCAGTTCAACCCCTTCCCACCACCTCCTCCTTCCGAGCACCAACAGCTGATCCTCACACAGAGGATTCCTTGCAGGAAGCCACATGTGGAGGGGAGTTTCAAGCTGGACACCCTCACGAGCAGCCGCCAGCTGCGGGGCAGGAACACGCAGGCTGTGTGTGCAACTCACCCGCAGCTCCTGCTAGGTTGGATACGGGCAGCAGCCAACCTGCTTTGCACGGGGCAAGAAAACAAGTCCACGGGCTAATCATCAAGGCCAGAACAACATCTCCAGCAGCAGCAGCTCACTGCCCAAAGCAGCCGAGGCTCCCAGAGGAGAGGGAAGAGGCAGGCAGCGTGAGGCGTTTCGCCCTCCCCGCCCCGG